GATGTTTATATCAAATAATGGACTATATTTTCTTTCTTTTTTTCCATATCAATGTTATCATAATCCAAAAAGTAGACAGAATACATTAGCCTAAAATGAGTAACCTAGTTACTATGACTATAATGTATCATGTAATCTGTAATTAGTAACAGACTACAGTTTGTAATTAGTTTTTACTGTTGAGGGAAAACTAAAATCTGTACACAAATTTCAGTATTGGGGTACAAGTAGAATAAATAATGAATATCGTGTTCTTTTAACTAAAAATAGTGTTCAATGTTCAAAAATTTTAATCTGGTATAAATACAAAGTTCCGGCATGAAACTCTAGATGGCGCAGTCCGATAGGTCTAACTCAATATGACATAATGACATCATTATCACATGGCACAGCTGATTGGTTCTCTCCTGTATCGGTAGCCAATGAGCTCGCTGCTCAATATACTTGGCAGTGTTTGCTGTAGCAGTGCACTTCAGAAACCCTCCACCTTCCCCAGCTCCACCTGTATAGGTATTTCTTACATGCTCATTATCTAATTCCATGTGCACGAGAAGCCATCGCCATTCATGAAGTCTGTTGCCCTCGCCAATCTCACACACAAATGCATTTACGTCATTTTCAGGCCTGACTGTACTTATAAAATGGGCAATAAATGAAGGGCGCCACTGAATAATCACAAAATTCAGTTTTATTGGGCCACTGATACATTTGTTGAGGTTTATTCCAGCAATATCAGGTTAATTTGAAAGAACTAGCATCGTGTGCTGGTAGTAACGGATTACATGTAATCTGGATTAGGCCTATGTAATCAGATTCTGCTTGTAACTGGATTAGTCTATATTACATTTTGACGTAGCCTATAAAACTACACTGTCTTCATCATATCCAGACCGTGACCTTCAGTAATGGCTGGTTCTGAAAGTCAGGACAAAAAAAATCAAACCTATCACATAAACAAATTAAGTTGTTTTCAAATAATTTATTTTACTTTTTTTTTTATCATTTTATGAACTCACAAACCCACTGCAGTTCTTACATTAAAAAACCCTGGTGTAATGTTATGTTTAATGCACTTCATGATGTTTATATCAAATAATGGACTATATTTTCTTTCTTTTTTTCCATATCAATGTTATCATAATCCAAAAAGTAGACAGAATACATTAGCCTAAAATGAGTAACCTAGTTACTATGACTATAATGTATCATGTAATCTGTAATTAGTAACAGACTACAGTTTGTAATTAGTTTTTACTGTTGAGGGAAAACTAAAATCTGTACACAAATTTCAGTATTGGGGTACAAGTAGAATAAATAATGAATATCGTGTTCTTTTAACTAAAAATAGTGTTCAATGTTCAAAAATTTTAATCTGGTATAAATACAAAGTTCCGGCATGAAACTCTAGATGGCGCAGTCCGATAGGTCTAACTCAATATGACATAATGACATCATTATCACATGGCACAGCTGATTGGTTCTCTCCTGTATCGGTAGCCAATGAGCTCGCTGCTCAATATACTTGGCAGTGTTTGCTGTAGCAGTGCACTTCAGAAACCCTCCACCTTCCCCAGCTCCACCTGTATAGGTATTTCTTACATGCTCATTATCTAATTCCATGTGCACGAGAAGCCATCGCCATTCATGAAGTCTGTTGCCCTCGCCAATCTCACACACAAATGCATTTACTAAAGATTGGCACAATAACATTTAATGTGGCAAATACATTCTCAACAGTGTCCTTTTACAAAAGAAGGCCTTTTTAAACTACCAAAACCTGGACATTAGCTTTAAACATTCAAATAACAGGGAAGGCAAAATATACAACACATAGAAAACTCACACGTTGGAAGTTGTTGCAATGAAATATATACAGAAATACAGCATCCTTTAAATGATTTAAGCATGCAAAAAATGTTTGAGAGGACAGAGTCTCCAGGCTTCCATCACTGTTCACTGCTCTTTAAACTCTGCGTCAAACATGATCTGCTGGATCTGCATCTTGACGGCGGCTCTTTTCTGCGGCGTCAGTCTTTTGAGCGCAGGGACGTAACTCAAGAGAAACAGCTCGTCCTCGTCGAAGGCTTTGAGGTTGCTGGCAGAGGCTGATGGCGTTCTCATGTGTATCTGCTCCTCAGGAGACTCCAGCTGCTCCGGGGCCTCGGCATCACCGAGACGCTTCTTCTCTCTGACGCGAGCATCCAGGAACGACAGGGTTTCTCTGTAATGCAAGCGCTGGCTGCCTTCTTCCCTCCTCAGCTTGCATTCCACCACTGCAGGGAAGCAAATTATATTATAAAATTATACTGCTGTTCATTCTCCAAACAATTATCTACAAATACTCAAAACAACAACAAAAAACAATTACACTGTAAAGAAAAAAAGATTATTGGAGTAGCCTACCTTTTACAAGAACATACCATTCCAGTTTTAAAATGTTACATTTTCAATGTTACTGTTACTTGACATCTTATTTGTGAAATTCAACAATTTCTGAGTGAAAATCGCTTCAACATTTTTTTCAGTGTACCCTGATATTAGTTTTTAATTAAGGGAAAACATACTTCTCAACATGCCTTATGTGCACAGACTCTTAAAAATTAGAAAAATAATAATAAAATTCCTCTCATTGATGATTTCATGAAACTTTAACATCCATGGAGTCTTTCCATTGCACAAAAGAGTCTTTATAATGGAAAAAAAGATTCTTTAGATGATTAAAATGTTCTTCACACTAAGAAAAGATGGTTTTAGGAACTGATCACTGAAAAGTTCACCAAAAACGGTCCTTCTTTGGCATCACTGTGAAAACCACCTTCATTTTTAAGAATGCATATCCTAATATTTACTATGCATGAACTTATAAATATGATTTTATTCAGTAATTCCGTGAAAGAAGCATTCTACACTAGCACTGTAAACTGAGGATATAATATCGCAGCGTAGCGCGTAATGTTGACGCACTGACCGGAGAGACCGATGGACGCGGCGACCTCGCGCCACGCTTTCACGCGCCGCTCCGCGCTGCGATAATCGAGCAGCGACGCGTTATAAAGCAACGGGTAAGCGCAAACGCTCTGGATGAGTTCCTCCGCTTCAGCCATTGAGTTCACCGAGCAGCGGAGGAGACGCGTTGTTCAGATCGTATTTCCGGAACGGCACGCTCGCGTCAGTAACGCGCGACTCACGCATCGCAACCGATTGGTAGATCACAGTTTGGTAGCGGATTCAAAGTGGAAGAAAACACTTTACTATGAATCAGATCCAGCTCTGGTTTGATCATTTGATTCATGAAAATCACATCTCTATTATATATTACTATATTTACTGTATATATACTATTATACTATTACATATACTATAGTTATATATACTATATACTTATATATATAATATATATATATATATATATATATATATATCTCTGCAAACTCAAGGTCACTTTACAATATCAAAACAGATAAACATGCCAGCAGACAGAAAAACAAAATACAGAGAAACGTGAAATCCAAGGCATGAAGGTAAAAGAAGGCAGATTTAGTGAGAGAAGAAATGCTAGGTGGGAAGGAGAGAGAGGAGTCAAAGATTATACCCAGGGTTTTAACGGTAGTGGAAGGTCGAACCAAGATCCCAGCAATGTTAACATTGTTGACACAGAAGTGAGCTACGTTTTTTGGTGAACCATCAAGAAGTAGATCTGTTTATCAGTGTTGAGTTTGAGAAAGTTACTGGTCATCCAAGCAGTTATATCATTAATACAAGCCGATATGGAGTTGGTTGGAAAAGGAGATCAGTTGTGTTGAGAACTGATATAGAGCTGGGTGTCATCTGCATAGAAATGGAAGTTGAAGCCATGATGAAGGATAATGTTACCTAAAGGAAGCATGTAGATGATGAAGAGTAAAGGCCCGAGGACAGAACCCTGAGGAACACCGTGAGAGCCAGGGGCAGTAGAGGCGGACAGCGATGTAATGCTGATGGTCAGACAGGTAAGAAACGAACCAAAATAGGGCAGTTCCAGAAATACCAAGAGCAGACAGTCGTGAGATGAGAATACTGTGAGAGATGTGTCAAAAGTAGAGGAAAGATCTAACAGAATTAAAATGCTAATGGAGCCTGAGTCAGTGGCCATACGGAGGTCTTGTCTTTGACAACCTTAAGAAGTGCTGTCTCAGTGCTGTGAAGATTACAAAAAAACGGACTGGAACATTCATAGAGGTTATGAGATGACAAATACGACTGAAGTTGAGCAGCAACAACGTTTTCAAATAGCTTCGAAAGAAGCGGAAGAGTCTGTAATTGGTCATATCAGATGGCTCAAGGCCGGGTTTCTTTAAGACTGGTCTGACAGCTGCAGTTTTAATTCAGTACTGAGAAGTTGAGAAATGAGAAGTGAAATAAGCAGCAAGAGAACAGGTGCAGAGTTTTTGATTTGATTTCTTGAGTAGCTGGGTGAGCGGAGAGGGGAGTTCATTGTTGGAAAGAGATAATATATGCGATTTATTACACAGATCTTGTGTGTGAGATACTAATAAATAACTCTTTCTGTAATTATTTCACTTTTTACATTTACATTTGTTCATTTAGCAGATGCTTTTATCCAAAGTGACTTACAAATGATGACAATAGAAGCAATCTAAACTAACAAAAGAGCAATAATATGCAAGTGCTACATTATCCCAACACAATACACGTAGCAAGGTTTATATATATATATATATATATATATAGGCTATATACACACACACACATAAATATAACAAAGATAAGTAGATAGAATAGAAAAAGAATAGAGAAAGCTAGTGTCTTTTTTAAGAAAAGTTAGAAAACGATTAGAGAGTGCTAGAATTAGAGGGTCAAATAAAGATGGAAGGGATGTGTTTTTAGCCATTTCTTGAATATTTTTCCAACTGACTGAGACTTGTAAAACTTAGAGTAATGCAATAAAAACGTCAGAATAAGAATTATGTTGTTCTTCTGCGGCGTCGACGGATAAACACTGGATCAGGAGCTTTTGACGGACGCGTGTTGTTTCTATTTGTGACGCGACGCTCCGCTTAGTCCCGCCCACAGCGAAATCTGATTGGTCCAAAATCCCGCCGTGACGCCCCGCTTCTGCGGAAGACGCGCGTTTGTGTCGCGCACTTCTGACGCGACGGTGGGTGATTCCGTTCGACGCGCGTCTCAGCAGCGCGTCAAAAAACTCAATGGCCGTGACTGAGAAACTCATCCAGAGCGTTCACGCTTACCCGGTGCTTTATAACGTGTCGCTGCACGATTATCGCAGCGCGGAGCGGCGCGTCAAAGCGTGGAGGGAGGTCGCCGCGTCTGTCGGTCTCTCCGGTCAGTGCGTCAACATTACGCGCGTCCTTTCCGTTCCACGCGCTTGACTTTAAAAGTGTTTTTACTGTTTTGCAGACTTTAAAGATCTCACACAGCAGCATTTACACGCTAGAGACGCGACAAACGAGAACGCGTCCGTCTGAATCAAGCCGCGACGCAGACCGGACGCGTTCTGATTTGACGCGGTGTAAACGACGGACAGTATGATGAAGTTAATTTAGGACGCGTTCTTGAGTCTTAGAAGAGTTATTTGATTAAGATTTCAACTTTTAAAAACGCGTGACAGAATAAAGTTCTGATTCAACTCCTGAAGCTTTACGAGCTCTTCATTAATGTAACACAGTCATATTAACAGATCAAAGTATACAATATACACTCTATTGATGATGCAGATTTATTTTTTCCCATCTTTATTTGACCCTCTAACTCTAGCGTTCTCTATTCTAATTCTATTTGATCTATTTGTTGACTTGATCCTCTAACACTTAATCTCTCTATTCGTTTTCTATTCTATTTGTTTTCGTTTTGTTTTATAAATAAATAACTGAGACTTGTTATAGTTGCATATTATTGCTCTTTTGTTGGTTCTGATTGCTTCTGTTCTCATCATTCATAACTCCGGATAAAAGCATCTGCTAAATGACTAAATGTAAATGTAAACGCATATATTAGATGAACGCAGCGCACTAAACGCACATTGCGCGTCTTATTTACAATAGTTTTCTATGAGAACGTATTGCGTTCATATTTTGCGCTCATCTGATGGGTTTAATATAAGATGCATCATCAATAACGTGAACTTTTACTATGACTGTCTTATGCAGGAATCATTAGAGTGTTTTTGAGCAGAGAAAATAGGTTTTTACTGCTTGCTTCACACGAAGAGTCCCTTTCTGCTGTTAAACGCTGCAGATGTGAATGTTTGTGAGTCAGAGAGCCGCTGGAGCTCAGATCACACACACACACACTCTCTCTGTCTCTCTCACACACACACACACACACACACACACACACACACACACACACACTCTCTGTCTCTCTCACACACACACAGACACTCAAACTCACACACACACACTCTCACTGTCTCACACACACACACTCACACACTCTCACACACACTCACACTCTCACACACACACTCACACTCTCACACACACACTCTCTCTGTCTCTCACACACACACACAGACACTCAAACTCACACACACACACTCTCACACACACTCACACTCTCACACACACTCACACACACTCACACTCTCACACACACACTCTCTCTGTCTCTCACACACAGACACACACAGACACTCAAACTCACACACACACACTCTCTCTGTCTCTCTCACACACACACACTCTCACACACACTCACACACTCACACACTCTCACACACACTCACACACTCACACACACACACTCTCTCTGTCTCTCTCACACACTCTCTCTGATCTGCCGGTGTTTTGCGTCTGCAGTGGTGGAGTGCAAGCGCAGATGGAAGACCATCAGGGACAGATTCATCCGAGAGCGGAGGCTGTGTCAGCTGAGGAGGGAAGAAGGAGGCCGGCGCCTGCATTTCTGGCCGCACAGAGAAAGCCTGTCGTTTCTGGAGGCTCACGTCAGGAAGAAGAAGCGCGTCGCTGAGCATCCGGATGACTCTCTGGACGAGTGCAGCGGCGGAGACTCCAAGCCCGGTCTGGAGACAGACAAGCAGTTCGAGTCGAAGCTCCAGCCGGTGACCCAGCTGCCTCCGGGACCGAAGCTGCCGCAGACGCCCGCTCCAACCGTCACCAGCGAGCTCCACGGCAAGACGGAGAAAGAGAAGGAGGCCTTTGACGAGGACGAGCTGTTTCTCTTGAGTTACGTCCCTGCGCTCAAAAGACTGACGCCGCAGAAAAGAGCCGCCGTCAAGATGCAGATCCAGCAGATCATGTTTGACGCAGAGTTTAAAGAGCAGCTCTGACTTCTGCAGCTCACTCCAAACATTTCAGCAGCGAAGATGCTGTCTTTCTCTGCATACCTCCGTTTGTGCTGAAATAAACTGCCTCGGCTTTCGTTTAGGTTTCATTTAGTTATTTATTGGTGCAAACAACCTTGTTTTGTAAAATATCACAAATTGTCTTGGTGCAAACTGCATTTTAGGCCCAGATGAATGCAAAATATATTTGTCAGGGGCTAAAGCTGCCCGTCGTCTTTTCTTTCATTGATTAATAAAAACACACACTCTTAAAAATAAAGGGTTTTTTTTGTTCTTTGCAGAAATAAAACAAGAACCTCTCAATGATAATTTCTTAAAACAAGCATTTTTTTGTCTTAGTGCAAGGGACATTTGAATAGTCTAAAGAACCCTTTACACTATAAAGCTGAAAATAAAGCTTGTTTGTTGGCATTGATGGTTTGCATTGGTCCTTTAGTGCAAAAAGTGTCTACATTATTAAAATGTTTTTCACACCAGCACTAAAAGAAAAAAAAAAAAAAGCTTCTTTTAAGGCATCAGTGTGGGGAAAAAAGCTCCCTGATATTGTTTTAATGATCTCAAATGACATAAATGTGAAATAATAAGACAAATGGAAGTTGGAGAATTATTTATTGTATATTAGAGCTTTGTACATTCATCAATCAGCTCCAGTGAGGAACATTTCTTCACCATCATCTGCAAACAGCAACCAAGGGCTCAAAGTAGAGTTATTTTTGGGGGGTTTCTACTTATGCATTTTTGCCTTCATATTCATCCATGAATGGTAAAGCAATGAAACTGACATGCACTGAGAAAGATGAACTCAGACTTGTAATTAATAACACATGTTGGAATTAAATGCATGTTCATCATTTGTGAGAGACAGAAAAGCCCATCAGTCCCAATCAAGCAGAATCTGGAGCAAGTAAAGCAAAAGACTCTCAGTCAGCAGACAGACGCTGTTTATTTGTATCCTCCTTATCTGTGTGGCTTAAGACGGGTTTTGAAAATCCATTAATTCCTTGATGAAAACCACATATAGCCGGACGTGTATGATTACAAAGGATTTGTTGAGAATGAATGGAGCATGTACAATAGCGTGACTGTGTCTCAGTGATAAGACAGAGTCAAGTGTTTCTGCTCTTCACATATAGGCTATGAAATTAAGATACAGCTTGATCTTTAGCATCATAACCAATATAAAACATGTTCACACAACATGGATTAAATTGAACTGACCGAGCAAATATCAGACCATTTGTGCTTGTGTTTAATTATTAACCCTCTGGTGTTTGGGGGTCACACTTGTGTTATTCTCGGTCAAAACTGACCAGACACCTGAAATTTTTTTTTTTTCAGTAAAATCAATGTAATATATTTTAGTTCAATTATATTTTTTCTTTTGTATTTTGAGAGAATTTCATGATACAAATGAATATGCAATAATTATGATAATTTTTCCCATTGAAAATAATACAAAAAATATATATAATATATTTCTATTAGTTTTCAATTATGACAGTAGCCTGTTTTATGTTAAAATAGATACTACGCTTTTAAAATCAAATTTTTGAAGGCACATTAGTGCCATCTGGTGGGAGTAAAAAAAGAAAGACTTCTGCAATTCCATGGTTTAGCCACTAGATTCCTATATAGATCTACTGCTTATAAAGTTTTTGAGTAGTTTCTGATATTTTTCATTTTGTTTTATGTTTTAATAATTTTTTTAATGAATTAGTTTTTTATTAACTTAATTTATTTATTGAATACACATATATTTGTTTTATGTTCATTCTGGTCGTTGTCTTATGTTGTTAGACGTTCCCTGTCTTGTGTTTATATAAATAAATAAATAAATGAGAAAGGAAAAGAAAGCACGCGATCAGTATGAATGCTTGGATCTGGAGGGTTAAACAGGTGTGATATGAACTAAATCTCATGCAAATGCACAAGCCAAAGCTGATCCTCTCGGAGACCTTCATGCTCTCCGTCGACATCCAGCAGAATCAAAGCACATAATGCCGTGCATTTATCTTTCAGCACAACAATGAGGCTTTCTGCCTCTCTGTACATCTCATTTGATACAGTGAAATCTGATTTCTTGTCAGCTAAAGCCAGATTACCTCAATCTCCAGCGCTCACTAACACCTTCACAAAACTGCCCAGATTAGCCGGGATTTTTCAGCCACTTTATACATTTTTTCCCCGGCTGTATAGAGGGATTACGTTTTGTCTCCTTGCTTTTAATCTATTTGGTAAATGGGGGTTTGACACAGACAGCAGAGCGATCCGGCTCTATATGAAAGCGTTCTGCTCTAAACCCGACGGCATTCTGGCTCAGAACCAGCTACAAATGCCATGGACAAGAAGAGCTCTGCCTTCACTATCGACCGCATTCTGAGCGCAGAAAACAACAAGATCCTCGGCTTGGAGAAGCCCTCGGCCCCGGGGCCCTGTGAGGAGAAACCGGCCCCCGAATCTGCAGCGAATCGAGAATCGATGAATCAGATGGACCTCAGATCGACCTGCTGCTTCTGTTCACACTGCGGAGAGGTTCTGCACACGGCTGCCAGTAAGAGCGCTTTAATCACATCCGACTCGGCTGACTTCGCCTGACCTTTGAGGAAAAACACAAAAGATCTCAAAAACGACTCTCACTTTTTTGCTCTGTTTTCAAATGTGATTCTGTCTTGATGAAGCAAAGACAATAGTATAACAATATTTAAATGTAAGCGTGAAGGAAATATAACAAAACCACAGTAACACTTGAAAATGAATGTGAAGGATGATTTTTATAATGTTATATATTATATTATTAGCCTATATATTATTGGGTTTTACAAGATTTTTATGTTTTACTTAATGAATTTGTGGTGTAAATCAGTGTTATTTTAGTATAATTGAGATATTATTATATTTTTATTAACATTTTACTTTTAACTAATAGCAACTATTATTTTATATTTTCCATTTTCATTTTAGTTAAAGTTTTAGTATTTTTGTTGTGCATTTTATCATTTATATTAGTATTTTTTATATATATATATAAGTCTAGCTTTTATTCATTTTAATTGTAGTTTTAGTTTTTTTAGCACATCAAGTTAAACTAAATGAAAATCAGAAATGTTTCCTTGACAACTAGCTAAAATAGAATTTTCCAGAAATGCATTTTATTTTATTTCAGTTGATGTTTATTTTATTTCAAGTAACTAAAATGTTTTTTTATATTCAATGTTATTTTAGTATCATTGAGGTATTTATCATTGAATTTTCATTAACATTTTGAATCAGTTTTTATTTTTATATTTTCAGTTTTCATTTTAGTCATTTTGTTGTGTGTAATTTTGTAATTTATAGTTTATAATTTATATGTTGTATATGTCTATATATTTTAATTAATTTTTATTTTAGGCTTAGTTTTAGTTATTTACGTACGTAGAAATGTTCTGGCTGAAATAATTGTTAAAAAGTATTACATTTTTATATTGTAGTTTGTTTCAGGTAACAAACATTTTAGATGTTTTTTTTTTCATTTTAGTTAATTATAATAATACCTGTTTTAATTTTAATTAAAATAATATTATACTGGTTTGATTTTTGGGTGGAACATGACTTGTTCTCAATGTGTTTGATTATATTCTCTCTGTTTAATCTCATGGTTAAGCTGATGCTGATCTCTGTGTTTTTTTTGCTGATGTCAACTTGTCATGTAGTTTGGGGTAAGCAGATGTTTGCAGAGACATGCTCGGCCGCAGAAGCTCACGACAGGGAAAGCTTCAGTCATGTTCAGAGGAGGGTTCGGCGTCATCGCACCATCTTCACAGAAGAGCAGCTGGACGCTCTGGAGGATCTATTCAGACAGAACCAGTATCCAGACATCAACACCCGCGAGCAGCTGGCCCAGAGAACACACCTGCGCGAGGAGAGAGTCGAGGTGATCCACCACTCACCTGTGTTTGCATCTCAATAATCATGTCATATCTCACCCAAAAACATATACTTTATTCCAATCCTGTAATCTCTTCAAAATAAACGTTTGTTATTTTAAATTGATGGTTCAGTGGAGAACCTTTAACAAGCCTGTTTCTTATTCTGGGACTAAAAAAAAAAATTCAGAATTTTTCATGCAATTCAGAAAAGTCAGAATTGCAAGATGTTAAGTTAAAGTTGTGAGATATAAAGTCATAATTGTAACATAAAACATCAAAATTGTGAGATGTAAAGTCAGAATTTCAAGATATAAAGTCCGAATTGCGAGACGTAGTCAAAATTGTGAAGTCAGAATTGTGGGATGTAAAGTGAGAATTGCGAGAAGTCAGAATTGTGAAACAAAGTGAGAATTGTGATATACAATGTCAGAATTGTGAGATGTAAAGTCAGAATTGTGAGATGTAAAGTCAGAATTGCAAGACATAAAGTCAGAATTTTGAGACGCAAAGTCAGAATTGTGACATAAAATGTGAGAATTGTGAGGTCAGAGTTGCGAAGTATAAAGTCAGAATTGCAAGATATAAAGCCAGAATTGCGAGACGTAAAGTCAGAATTGTGACATAAAATGTCAGAATTGTGAAGTCAGAATTGTGAGATGTAAAGTCAAAATTACAAGAGAATTGCGAGACGTAGTCAAAATTGTGAAGTCAGAATTGTGGGATGTAAAGAGAGAATTGCGAGACGTAAAGTCAGAATAGCCAGATATAAAGTCAAAATTGTGAGACATAAAGTCAGAATTGCGAGACGTAAAGTCAGAATTGCGAGACGTAAACTCAGAATTGCGACATAAAATGTCAGAATTGTGAGATTTAAGTTGCGAGACGTAGTCAAAATTGTGAAGTCAGAATTGTGGGATGTAAAGAGAGAATTGCGAGACATAAAGTCAGAATAGCCAGATATAAAGTCAGGATTGTGAGACATAAAGTCAGAATTGCGAGACTTAAAGTCAAGTAAAGTCAGAATTACGAGATATGAATTAAGAATTGCGAGACGTGAAGTCAGAATTGCAAGATATAAAGTCAGAATTATGAGACAAAGTCAGAATTGCGACATAAAATGTCAGAATTGTGAGATTTAAAGTCAAAATTACAAGATCTAAAGTCAGAATTGTGAAACAAAGTGAGAATTGTGATAAAAAAATGTCAGAATTGTGAAGTCAGAATTGTGAGAAGTCAGAATTGCGAGATATAAAGTCAGAATTGCGAGACGTAAATTCAGAATTGCAAGATATAAAGTCAGAATTGTGAGAAGTCAGAATTGCGAGATATA